CGACCCCCACCACCTTCCAAGCTGCGCGAAACGGTCCTAGAATCTCGGGAACACGAGTATAGTTTTAATTATAGCAAGATAGGTCTTTCAACCTTGAGGACGCAGACGCTCTCGAGGATCAGTCTGACTCCTTGTGGTGGTTTCTTCATCGCTTTTACTACGGCAATATCGGCGGTCGTCAAAGTGCCCAGGGCGCTTTCCGCGCGCTTCAGAATCGGCATAGCCGCAGCTAAATCACGGTCGCACTCGGCCTTGATCGCTGCCGCTTCTTCCGCGTAAACCTATAAACGATTTATATATAAAAATGTCGAAATATTGTAAATATCGCAATTTCTAATCACTGTCTTAAGGATGTATAAAATATATACTTAAATGATGCTAGAATGTTGAATTTGTTATTATATATTTCTATTANGGTTCCTATTAAAAAAATTTGAGACTACAACTTGTTTAAAAAAGTAAATGGTAAGCTCAGTGGAAGATACCTGAAGCCAGTCGATGGTACAACAATTAACCAGCGCTGGAAATTTTCGGATTCGGTTGCGAAAATTATTGCCAATCGGCGACATGACAATCACGATGTGGAGCTGTTCCCTTGTTATCTGAACAAACAGATTGAACAGGGCCACCGCGCTACCATCCGTTTGTACCGATCGGTCTCGTTGCCTGTCGATCTGCCTCATCTGCTCGCATATCTCACCCAGTTCTTCAGCGGTGAATATATTCGGTATCTGAATATTGTGATCCAAATTATTCGGTTTTCTTCTAAGGACGCATTATTTTTTTTGAACTCTTATTATTAAATTTAAATTATTATTTTTTTGAATGAAATTATAACTAATTTGCTTAATTAATAAATAATAATAATAATTAATTTTTGAATCCTTGAAACTCTGTAAGATTGTTGAGACATTGAAGAGTTTTTGGGAAAATTTATGGCAATGTAATTAGGAATTAGTTTATCGAATTTTCTTATGCAAACTTAGAGAGTTTCGAGCAGGTTTACAGATAAATGAATAAATAATAAATAAATCAATAAAAAATAATAGTAACAAATATAAATAATATGTAAATGAATAAATAAATAAATTTTTAATTGAATTAAATCTGAATTCGACTAATTAAGCTTAAGCCCATTTGGGAGAAAATTGAATTTTAATTCTTAATTAAAGAATACTCCAACTGTCGATTAAGATTTAGAGAAAAATTATTAATTATTAACGCGATTAAACAATTGACGAATCACTAGAAAACAGCGAAGTTTTCAATTCTTATCCCGAATTACCTCTCCGGAATTGAGTAAATTGCTAATGTCCTCAAGGAAGCTCTCCTGTTTGATTTGAGTGTCGCAGAAGAGAAAGGTGGAGTGGAGCTCGGTGGCTGTCGCTCGCCTCAGGATCACTTTCACGTCCTCATGCCACGCGTGAACCCCGTACTGCTGGGTGACTTCCACTTGGAAGACGTCGTAGTCGCATATATGCGAGGCCAACCTGGTCAACGACTGTCTTCCCGTACCTCCGACTCCTACCAGAAGCGCGTGGCTTCGTGGCTGCTTGATAATGCGGGAGATACGGGACAAGTGTTCTATGGCGAAACTAAATGGCACATGCGTTTAAATAAATTTAAGATTAGAAATTTCTTGTCACACTAATCTATGAATTTTTTGTCATATTTTTAACCCTTTTAGTGCCAAGGACGATATATCGTCGTTTAACAGAGGGCGCCTTACTATTCGCATTGCGAGAGAACTTTAGCTCAAAATAAATTTATAAAACGTTATACACGATCTAATTTCAATGCAAAAGAATTAAAAAAATTGTTTTTGGACTTAACTTGCCGACAGTAAATTGCATTTAAATGTAAATAATATAAATATAATTTAGGTAGATTTAGTATTAAAGTTGCGATTTACCGGAATAAGACTAAATTCATTGGCTTTTTAGTCATGCTGTTGTATTCTGCTAAATAAGTTTCGACTATTTCTCGCAACTGCTCGAGATCCGCAGTCTCTTGATAAAGTCTGTCTCCCTTCGTATCAGCAAAATCGCAGAACACCAGATTTCGCAGTTCTTGCTCGGTGATCGGTTTTGACT